CAAGTGTCCGAGCATAAGGCTGACAAAATGTTCTTTTTCCTACTCATTTGTGTGGTCTTGTTTAGCAAAAATTATATACATAAAAAAGCTGAGTAAAATTTGTTCAAGAAAAACATACATATCTCTCTGGCAGTGGGCTGAGCATCGAGAATAATCCATGAGAGACCAGTGAGTTCTAAGGGAGAGAAAGAGAATGTTTCTTTCCTGTCATTTGCTGCACTGGCTATTTAATTACAACTTGGCCTCATTTCATTTAAAAAAGTAAAATATATACAATTACAGGGAAATAGTTTTCAGCTAGTGGGGGCACTTTTCTTCCAAATATTTAGCATTTTTCTTCCCACCACTTAAAATTACAAAGTGTGGTTTAATTTTTCCTTTTTACCTTTGTTGTTTTGAACTTTGGGCAGGACATTCTGCATTCCTACCAGATTATTCTTGTAACACTAACACACAGGTACATGAGATGAAAATGAATCTTAATTTGGAAAGTCTGCAGTGACTTGTTCTAATGCCCAGGCTGTGTTGCTCAAGTGCTCTGAGGACATCACAACATGCATGCCAAGACAAGATACCTTCATGGGGAATAATTCTCCCCACAGAGCAGTTCTGTTGGACTGTTGGGGTTGGTAGAAATGGAGAGAAGGGGAATCTCCCAAAAGGCTAGAAGATATCAACTGAGTTTCTGCTTTAAACCTGCTATGGATTCAGAGAAAGAAAGCTCCAAATAAAATTAATAGGAGAGGTTATTTCTTCTTAGTATGAATGTGGATTTTGAATTGACAGGGCATATGGTGGAAAGTTAAAGTCTAAGCTGTGGTGAGGCTGGTCATGGGAGGTAGACCAATCTTACAACAGTCGTGAGGGATAGTCTAGAGCATTTGGATTCTAATTCAGTCTATGATGAGTTTATTTAAGGAGAGTGAAATGTTTGGAGTGTGTTCAAACTTGGAAATAGTATTTAGAATAAACAGAAGTCAAAAGTAACCACAGTGTTGTACTGTAAGTGATGATACCAGGATTAGGTTGCAGAAGTGGACTGAAGGGCCATTCTCATTTTTTTCTCTTCATGTCCTGTGTTCCTCAGGCCTTTTACCAACAAAATGGTAGAGGACTCGAGCCTGACAATGAAAATTTTAAGGTATGAAATCTGCCCACTCACTGTGAACCAAGACATACCCTTTTGAGGTTCCTGACCCTTCATCCATGTACCAGGAATCCTGGCTTTTCTTCATGCACAGGCTCTGCTTCTGATGGCCCAAGATAATCTAGATCCCAATGACTTCCAAAGATGTTATAAAGAAGCTTACACCAACCAGGGGTTAACCCTTTTGCTGTACCCAGCTCCTTCCTCTGCAGTAGGAGTGAATGACTTAATGTGTGATTTTAGAATAATAAATGAGACTCTCCCTCCTCTAAAAGAAACGGCAGCTCCAAAGAAAGTGAGAAATAAGCCTTGTTTTATGTGGATGATGAATTTGTTTGGGGTCTTGTGATGTGGTGATGAGGTTTGGCATCCCATCATATAGAATTGTCCCTCGTCACAGGAGGTGCCTTCTGCTAAAACTGCCCAAGAAGACATAATGGAGCCATGCTAAAAAAAAAAGGACTGTAGTGATGAAATTCTAATACCTGAAGTGGAAGACCAAAGGCATATTTGAAGAACTGTCTCAGTTAGTGTGTGGAGATAAGGAAAACATGTAGACATGAGTAGAAGAGAGTAAAAAGAGAAGAACACTGTCCATCAGGTACAGTGTCAGTCAGTTACTGGTGTTGAGCGCCCAGGGGACTGCCCCAACAAACATCAAGGTCTGTTTTGAGAGCTGTGAAAACATCTTGAATTTTCCCTGATGAATTATTCAGTCTCTGTTAGGAGGTTGTACATTTGAGTGTGAAAGTGTGAGCAGAAGAAAGATTGAGGAGGGTAAGGGGTAAGCTGGGGTTGCCGAAATGAGTCCATGGCCTATTGTTACTTTAAGGAGGGAGGCGTGGCTGTAATGAAGAACAACAGAAAGTCAGGTAAAACTACTCTCATAATGGTAAACATGAAACACTGGGAAGGTGGAGATTAAATCAGAGGGAGGGAGTGTGGGAGGATGCGGAGTACGGTGGAGTGAGTCTGAGCCATGCAGCCAACAATCAGAAAGGTTTGGGGAAGCCTTCTTCTCTAAGAGAGGGATGGAATTGGCTTCTTGGAATTTGGGAATTGAGCTTAATGGAAAGTAAGTGAAGGAACTGATGCTTCATTGATTCTCCTCCTTGTCCTCTTCTTCCTCCTCCTTGCCCTCCTCCTCCTCCTCCTCCTCGTCCTTCTCCTCCTCCTCCTCCTCGTCCTCCTCCTCCTTCTTCTTCTTCTTCTTCTTCTTCTTCTTCTTCTTCTTCTTCTTCTTCTTCTTCTTCTTCTTCTTCTTCCTCTTCTTCTTTCACTAGCACAGGTCAAGAAATTGCTGGAAACAAAGAATACATTTATAAGAGATGCAGAAATATTTGTATAGTTGAATATCATTAATTATGTATTTAATTTGTATAAATAATTACAAGCTATACTTTAGAGAAAAAGACAAAGTAACAACTACCGTCAGTGTTACATAAATTATAGACTTTACTTTATATAAAAAGAATAACTTATTTTAAGGTAGTTTTTGGTCACAAAATCTAAACTTCAAGTTCATCTCGTTTGTTGGATGCTGTGATATATTTCCATGTCCCTTGTTTGGACAGGACATGTATTCCTAGCTGGGAATGCAGCCAGGAGGTATTCTCTGCCTGTCAATTCACTCTGGAGATTGTCTGAGCTGAAGAAATCTCTCCTCTCCCCAAGGTCATAGCTTGTTCCTGATGTCTCATATCCAGCGACTGCTTGACACCGGGTGTCAAGAGCTGAGTGTCAGAGAAGAAATCAGAGTGTCCACAGGGTTTAAAGGCTTCTGCTTTGATAATTTCTCCCTTCAACAGGTGGTGAAGGATGTTTCTCAAACAGCTTTCATTGCTAATCTTTGTTTCCATGTCTGTTTCTCAGGGAAACAAACTTGCAAGTATTGAAAAATAGTCTCCCAGGGGCTAACAGTCATCAAATACCAGCTTCCTTAAGCTTTTGTCTTAACTGAAAAAAAATCCTAGGTATAGTTATTTCTCCATCCAGGGACAGTCCACATACCAGGGCTGAGGAGTATCTATCATCCTCACTCCAGCTTGGAACAACTCCCATGGGCCAACCTTATGGAAAGCTCACCACAGGATGTGACCAATGTGTTAGAACTGTGTTTGTCACCCAACCCTTTTGTACTTCACATTCCTTGCCTCTCTTCATAGGTGTGATTCCAAGTTCACTCTTTAATCCATCTCCCGTGCCCATGAGTCTGCTTTTGTGACTCTTACCTGACATCTCACTAACCCAAATTTTGCTTTCTGATTAAAATTTTTTATCTTAACAAAGTGCTCAATAAAAGATCCATCTCTCAGTAAGGTACCAGATCCTTTTGCTTTTCATGGGGACATTTTACTCCAGTGGTTAGGATCTCAGATTTCTGCAGTTCTGTTATTAGTGTCCCCTTAGTTTAGAGTATCTGTAATGTTTGCTTCATTGATTTCAATTATTGAACATTCTCAATTTAAACTTCATTTGAACTTCTATATAGGAAATTTAGTTTCTCATGTCCTGGTATTTATACAGAATATTAGTAGCTACAGGTGTCTATTTAGACACACTATCTAACAGACAACTTACTTTTCCCCTTGAGCACTAAGAATGCAGTATTGTTGCTATGATAACTTTGAGCAAAGATTGCTAGTTCAGTATCTATTTCTCCTTCACTATGTAGTTACAGATTCTTGGAAGGACAACATGATGTTACATTGTTAAATATGCATTTTTGTCCTCTTTTTCAGCTAGTTGTAGACAAGTGCCTGAATTGTGGGTATTTGAGAATGTCAAATATAACTTGTTGGGAAGGATAGCTATCCACTGGTGGGTGTGGTCACAACAGTGGGAACTATAAGAGTGACCTTGGAATAAGGAGGATGGCAGAATATGACAGATGGGGTCTGGCTTCCAACAAAAGCTGTCACATCAGCCAAGACTCTTATATGAGAAATAAGGAGCAACCATCTAGTACAAGCTACTATTACTTTGGATCTCTATTTTAGCAGCCAAATCAATTCCCTAATTAATCCTCAAGGGATATGCATATCTGAAAGCAGATTCCTAATGTTATATTCATGTAATCAGTTAGTAGTTGCTTGTCAATAAATTGGGGGAATATTTGAAGTCTTTGAAAACTCTGTTTATTAATTTGAGTCATTTGGGCTCCCATAAAAATTTAGGGTGTACCTGGCAATTGAGAAGTCAATCAAACCAAGATGGCATATCTCCTACATTTTCCTTACCCAAGTTTAAAAGCAAAATCTTGAAAAAGTTTCCCTAAACAAAATAAATTAAATCACTTATATATATATTATATGTGTGTTAAAACATAATAAACCATAAGCACAATATTTTCGGATAAACACAAGTACTGCAAAACATTTAATGCATATGACATTCTTCTTCTGCTTGGTCATCCAGCCAAGCAGAGGGCTCTTGTCTCTGGTCCCTTTGGTTTTATGGTTCTTCTGTAAAAGGCCTGTCCATATGGCAGCCATTCTGTCTCAAAGTCAGTCACTCTCAGGCTGATTCAGCATGATCTGTTCCTTTTTATACATCAACTTTCCATTTCATACCACTAGGGTTTTGATACCATTCATTATCCAAAAGCACTGATATTTTTTGGAAATATTGAATTTTAGTAATTTTGGAGCCAGCTTTCCTGTCTTTTTCTTGAAGTTATTCATTGAATTTTTCAGATGGCCTTATTAGCATTTTCATCAGGGGTGTTTTTATTCCAGCTCAGTAGTTCTACATGGCTGAGTCTGGCTTAGACCAGGGAGGCCAATTTATTATTGTTGGCTGTCCTTCTCCAACTCTGTTATTTAAGCCATTGGGTGGCTGCTTGCTAGTGTTTGGGTGTCTGATATCATTTGAGGGTTTCAGCACATGAACCACGGTGGAAGAATGGTACTTGGGTTCTAGTCAGTGACATGAATTCTTGCATAAAATTCAAAACTAAAGTTACAATTTTTCCTAGGTTGGAATTAGCCCCATTTTAACCTTTAATACATGTAATCTAAGAGGAAAAGAAAAGAAAAGGCGGAGTGGATGATTAATGGTGTTTACTATAGTTGTGAGCAGGGCCATCTGGGAGTGCAAATCAGAACTACCTGTGATACTGTGGAGTAGCTGCCATTCATGAGAGCTGCCTTTATTCTGTGTCTTTAGGGATGGGTCTATTTAGGGAAGGGTGGCAGAGATAATTGATAAATGCTTTAGTTCTATACTAAATGTGAACAACAATTTGGGTTCCATTTCCTTAGACTTATGTGTCTAAAATTGAAATACTGGGACATGAGAGGCATCATTTTTTTCTTTTTGTATTTCTGATTTATGAACAACCTCAGAATGTGAACTGACTAGCAATTTGACCAAACCAACACACATTTCATAGAAAAGAGAGCAACTCAAAGATGGGATTCTGGATGCATGAGACATGTTTGCTGGCCAATCTTGTTACTGGGCAAGGTCAACTATAGCTGAAGAGCCTCAACTTGTAGCAGTGCAAACAGGACACTAACATGACCTGTCTGCATTTTCATAGCTCACAGGCAAAAGCTGCTCCTCAGAAGAAAGGCAGGATGGAAAAACAGTGGTTTTTCAAGACAACAGAAAAGTATGAACAAGTGCCTGGTCTGCTCTAGACTTTTAAAAACTTAATATGTATCATATACTTAGAGACATTCATACATCACAAGTAGGTGGCTCAATGAATTTTCGAAGGGTGCTCATACAGTTCATTATTCCCATGATAAAGAAACAGGACACCAGGAGCAAGAGAGATGTTTCAGTGGTGATGAACAGAGCAACTCTTCAAGAAGACAAAGGCTGGATTCCTAGCACTAACATGGCATGTCACAGCATCCTTAAACTACACTTCCAGGATTTTTGATGCCCTCGTCTTCAGGTACTGTATGTATGTGGCACAATACAAACACACTGGTAAAAAGACATGAAATTCAACGAGATAAATCTTTGAAAAGAGTGAAATAAGTAGGATATACCTGATAGATTAAAGGTATCCTTAGGGTTCTATGCTCACTGAGTCATCTTTCCTAAGGTGACAAATACTAGAATTTCAGTACAATACATTATTCTTGTTCATTTCTGAACTTGATTGAAATGGAATTATCAATGCATACTGTGGTTTCTTTTGCTCAACCATAATTCTATTGTGTTCATCCATGCTGATGTGAGTAGCAGTAGTTTGATCACACTGTGTAGCATTTTACTGCATGGTTATATTAATATTTTTCATTTCTGATCTTGGTGGACATTGGTGATGTTTGCTATTTGGGCCATTATGAATGGAGATGCTATGACCATCTTTGTATGTGTTTTAAAGCACTCTTGCAAGTATTGTTTGTTTACAGTGCATGGTTAGAATAGGTGAGTTTTAGGGTTTGTATAGCTTCCTGTCTGGTAGATAGTATAGTTTTATTTCTTTCTCTTATTCCCTACCTCATAATCAACTAGTTCAATTTATGTTTCATACATTAACATTTAAGTGTTCTAGTTGCCACACATTCTGACATCCTTAGCATGGTGATGATTTTTAATCTTATCCTTCCTCATAGGTGTGTAATGATTTTATTGTGATCCATTGTGGTCCATTCCCAGTATGACTAATAGTCTTCAGTATCTTTTCTGTGTTTATTGATTTTTTAAAATAGACTTCTATTGTATGAAATCCTTGTTATTTCTTTTGCTCATTTTTCTGTCTAGGTGTGGGACTTTCCTATTAATTTTTTAAGTTTAAAAATATTTTGTACACAAGTAATTCCTTATGTGGCTTTAAGATTTTTATATCTAGCCGGGCGGTGGTGGCACACGCCTTTAATCCCAGCACTCAGGAGGAAGAGGCAGGCGGATCTCTGTGAGTTCGAGGCCGGGCTGGACCGATAGCTTCCAAAACAATACAGAGAAACCCTGTCTCGTAAAAAAAAAGATTTTTATATCTATGTATATGTTTGTGTGTGCACATGTATACATGTGAATACACACACACACACACACGCACACACACACACACACACACACACACACGTGTATACCGTACCTGAAGAGGTCAGAAGAAAGGTGATGAATCCCTGGAGTTGGAGTTATCGGTGGTTTTGAACCACCCTATGTGGATGCTGGGAACATAACTTGGGTATTCTGCAAGAGCAGCAAATAGTCCTAACTATCTCTTCAACCCCCATTTTTATTTTTTAGTGCAAAAATCTTTTTGTTTTTCATGATACAAAGTACAGAGCTATTGTGATATTTTCAATGAGAAACATTCACCAGAGTCTCAAGCATTTAAACATTTGATCTCCAACAGAAAAGTGACCAATCCAGCCACATTCCAAGATTTTGTTATAACAAAGAACCATGCTATTCTAAATAGGCACACTGAAATTTTATCATCATGTGTGGTATTTTGTTATTGTATCATAGTTTGTTTTATGATATTTTCTTTGTATGTATCTTTGTGCATGGAAAAATTTGAACAATATTCATAAGAATATAAATAAATGTTTATTTTCTAACAAAGTAACAATGACCATATTAATCACCTTTGTTAACTTTTACCGAATTGCTTCTAAGTATCTTATGTACATTATGTTCTGTCCAAAGATATTTACATTTCATTGTTATTAATTTTACTGGAGGGTTTTCTCCTCAGGAGGTGGTGACTACTTTCCTCTTCCCTTTCTTGCCACTGTCTGTGTCTTCAGTTGTGGGCAGCTGACTCTGTCTCCCAAATACTCAATCACCAGAACTACAACAAATTCTACACTGGCACATGGTTCTCCCTTCAAATTCCAGTGGTTTCTTCTTGCTACATAATGTTGGAATCAATGTTTTCCATAATAAAGGAATTTATGAAGTGTTTTCTTCAGCCAGAAGCTCATGGGCACTGGTTCTACCATACCATTGAACTGGGGCTCTTATGTCCCTCTGTGAGAATGCATTGCCTTTTAACAACCATTGATAGTATTTACACCATTTAGCATTTCCCTTTCAACCCTGAGTCTCACTCACTGTCATCTCTGGCATAGTCGGTGGGCTGAGAGGATGTAGTAAGTTTAGATTCTGTCCATAGTGGCTACATTAGCGGGACTGTCTTGCATGAATGGCTATCTTTCAGTTACACACTGACATTTCCTTTATATAGGAAGCCCATTTACCTGACCAGACCTTGTCTTCAGCGAATACAATACATTTTCTTATTGCCTCTAGTTCTTTCTGCAAAAAATTCTTGTCCTGAGCACTCTCCACCATCTTTGCTTTCATCCTAATTTATCACTTAGTCTCTGAGTCAGCAGCTCTCAGTCTTCCTTAGAGAAATGTAGCCCTGAACTAGAATCTACACCCAGAGTCAAGACCTCTAAAGTTTTTCCCAAGAGCCTCAAGGTCCAAAACTAGCGGAGAGCTACCTTGTTCCAAATGTGTAATTAGAAATTATTGTATAATTGAAAATAGACCCTGTTGAAGGTAAATGCAGACATAGTTCTGCATACTCTGCAGTGAGTGGGGTGAGACATGTCCACTTAGCTGCTCCCACCTGTGTCTTTTGCAGTGAATACTTAGATAATGAGAAGCCTGTAAACATCCCTCTTTTCTGCCTAGTTTATGGTTTTAAGTTCTTCCTTTCTCCCTCTCCCCCCTTTCTTTCCCTTTCTTCCTTCCTTCCCCCCTCCCTCCCTCCCTCCCTCCCCCCCCTCTCTCTGTCAATAACTGTTTATCACTTCCTCAGCTTTGGCATATTCTACTACAGGGGTTTTCAATCTTCCTAATGCTATGACCCACGTGATGATGAACTCCAGCCATAAAATTACTTCATTGCTACTTCATAACTAATTTTGATACTGTTATGAATCACACATCATTCAGGATATCTGATCTGTGACCCCTGTGAAAGGCTCATTTGACTCCCAAAAGGCTTATGATCCACAGGTTGAGAACCACTTACTGCTCTACTACTATCTTGACCATAATGATAAATTTAAGAATAATCATAGAGCTGCTGAAATGGTCACTGAGTCATGATAGGAGTTTCCAACACAATTCCCAGAACCATGGATAGAAAACTGTATTTCTAAGGGGAGAGTTGTTTAATTACACAGATATACTGGCATATTTGGGTTCATTTGACATTTATTCTTTTAGTGTTTGCTTATTCTTTGGTGATTTATGAAAAATATAAGGGAGGTATTCATTTTTCATCCTAACATTATGTATTCAGAATCTTGGTCCTAAAATCACATGACATTTGGTTTAGTAAAAATGTATTGTACATTTGAAATAAATTTACCACTTCTCAAGAAAGTGTGTTTTAATATAAGAAGATGGGCCCACATTAAAACCCTTAGAATGATAAGAAAATTGGGTGCCAATAGCTGGTTCTGAAACTCATTAAAAACAAATGAAAGACTTGGAATGTTTTCTTAGTTTTTTTGGCAAAATTATATATCCACATTGCAAGTTTAATGATCCTATGCTTGTGATTAAAACTTGAGTAATGTGTTTTTTCTCTTTGAAGAACATAATAATGCACGTGGTACCCATTATATCAAGCACTTCTTAGTCACATTTGTAGAATTTCTCTGTGCTTTAAAACATTAATTCATTTCCATAATATAGCTGAAGAATAATTTCCATCACATAGTTTTCATTTTATCGATGAGAAAATGAAAATCAGAGGGTTTGGGCACATGATAGGATCCCAACAAAAAGTCAGTCACATGGGTAATTCAGTCCCAGAGTTAGGTCCCTTTCTGGGGAGTTAAGAATGTGTCATATGGGTTGTAGAAGTCAGAATCAAACATGGCACGTCACCACCATCCCTTCTTCCTACTTATTATACAGGCCTTTCATACATGCTATTCATGTATAGGAAGCCTCATCTGTTTTCATTTACATTTAATTTATATAGAATTAACAGCAAAAATCTGTTCTCAACAGGTGTTGTAGAACACACTGTCACTAAATGATTTAATCTGTTTCCTGTTTCTCTAAATTTACCAATTCATTAACTCATCAGTTCCTGGTGCACTCAAAAATTCCCTACTCCCAAACAAAAAAGCAAGTCCAAATAAACAAGAAAACAGATACAAGGTTTTTCAGTCATGCAGAGGCCAAGTCAAACAGGAAACTCTTAGTGATTCTGACCACTTGTTCCATCAGACCTTTCTGGCAGGGGATGTAAGATGGTGGCAAGTTGTAGGACAGGAGGTCTCTGGGTAGCTGGACTTTCATAGATCACTCTGGTCATGTATCATCTGAACAACTTACAGTGTTTACTCTTGATTTTGCTCAGCCAATCAGGCCTCTAGTTTAAATAGCTTAAAAAAATCCTTGACCTCTGAAGTCCTGCAGAATATTGGAAACCTGTTAATGCATAAACATATGTCATGCAAAGAAAGGGACAGTCAAAGAAATCAGGATGGCAAAGTCAAAGATGCAAATTAAAACCCAGGAAGAATCAATTAAATCGGCACCAAAGGTCTGTTTAAATGATTAAATGAGACAGAAGTGCATCTTGAGATGAATAAATTACATGAAAGTGTGAGGAAAGAAGCGAAGCCCTGGGAGGCATGTGAGGGGGAGGAGAAGTGCGTGAATTTGTGAGGAGAGATTCAACATAGGTGATGTGCACTTGGTCTCAGATTTTGGCTATTAGAGTGATTAAATATGCAAAAATGTCACCATAGCCCCTGGGTATCACACCAAACAGGAATACAAATGGGAAATCCTAGAGTTAGAATAACAAGAGGAAAACCTTCACGTTTCTCATGGGGTTTTTGGGCACAAGCCTCAGGGGCATATACTACTAGCAGTTTGAGGGTTCCTGCAGTCAGCTGTGGCATGCTGATTTCAGTGTCCCACCATCCTTCTGCCTGACTGCTCTATAATCAAAAG